CTTCAGATCCCTTTCCTGCCCTCAAGCCTGCATCACCGATAGCCCTATCAATCCTTCTACCCACACGCACAAGTTCAGGCCCTGCCCACATCAAAGAAACTCCCCACTGAACTCATTCAGCAAGTTTTTAAGCCGACTCACAGGAGCGCTTTGCCTGCCTGGGAAGGATGAGGCAGACAGTATTTTGAAATTCAGCTTTCCTGACTCATCATCCAAGTATGTCCCCCTTTCTCCAACCCACAATAATTGTCCTTAATGGGTGCTCTTTTTGGTTTCATGGGATTCTCGTGACCTAAGCGTATCCAGCACTGCAGAGCATGGATGGGGTGAAACTCCTGGAGGCAGAGGCGTGGGATGGGGACTGGCACACGCTGCCAGGGACCCACGGGGAAGCACGTGTGAAGGCGCTCCTGGGCTGCTGTAAGGGCCACTGTAGTGGCAGTCATGTCCGGTAAGGCTGACTCAGACTTAAAAACTCAAAGCCAGACACAAAGCCTTCCCCCCGCCCCCATCTAACACATAAAGCAAGTTCTCATTTGACGTATCCAGGATCTTTACTGTGACTATACAACTTTCGTTTCCAGCATATTGATTGCAAGCTGAGAAGATAGTAGAGGAATATTTATCCTGCCATAGCACTTGTATTTAAGATTGCATAAATGAAAACATACAGCAGATGGTGAAGATATATTGTGCGTCCTGGTCAGGGCTTACATAGAAGTGCTGCGAGTCACAGGGTTTTAGCTGCCTTACATAAAATTTACAAAAAAATTACCGGAGGACCAGGATTTGGTTTAAAAGAAGATAAGCATTACTGAAGTGCATGAATTGAGAAAGTTATTAGTGACAGGACTGAAGAAAATTGTGAACGTGTCTACAAGAGCATTTCTTCACCACATTCACAAAAACATTGCAGTGTTGATAAAGCCTTAGCACCCCAGATGGAGAACTGGCAAATTAGGTCTTAAATAAAACCTGCAGGAAGGAAGCTCGCCACAATTACTTTAAACTGCTTGAAAAGGATATTAATACCTAATATTTGGGAAGCTGCATCAGTAATTCATCATCTTTAAAGGAACATAAAGGGAAAACCGTCTTTGCTGAGGGGAAAAAAATAAGAAGCAAAAAGGATGACGTTTTTGTAGCACTACCTGAATATAATTAGCTACTGAACCAGTCAGCAGATTCTACAAATTCTGCAACTTATGCCAGAAAATTATCTATTAACATGAAAAAGCAGGCAAAGAGGATTTAAACAAACAAACAAAAAACCCAAAGGGTCTAAAGAGGGGAAAAAAAAAAAATCTGACAAAGTTTGTCAACTACTTACAAATTCTATGATTAGAGTACTGGCCTACCAAGCCTGCATGGTAACATCTCTCACCTCCCTAAAGCTTCTGCCCTAGCTCGGAGTTCAAAGGAACTCTGCCATATCCATAGCTCTAGTCTATATTTTGGATAATAATTTGGGTGACATTAACTGTATAGACAGCAGAGACTTGTAGTTACACTGAACTAGCGGGAGCTACGAGCCCTTTGGAGGGCAGAATCAAAACTCATCTCCCTGCTTTCAGATTCTCTCCAATTCACCAGGATAAAGGAAAAGGCAAGGTATACTTCAGAAAAGAAATTGAAGGTGTAGGAGGTCCTGTTTTAGTTTTGTTTCTTTTTTCTTTTTCTTGTACTTATTCTAGGCCACAAAGCAAACCTGTGCTTGCTGGTGTACTGTGTCTACGAAATAAAATACCTGGATAAAATAAGAGGGGGGACAGAAGGGAGAGAGCAACAGTCGTGATGAGAACTCAAGAAAACATGACAGATGATAAAAGGCTAAGAAAACTGTGTTTGTTCTATAGACTATGTTACCTCAGTCATCGTAAAAAAACCCCAAAACTAAACATATAATAGGTGGTTATAAAATGAAAGCACGTAATGGGTGGTTATGAAATAAGAGGTGATCAACTGTTCTCTATTGCCACACAAACAGGAAGAAATCTATATATATTAAACAGTGTTTAAATAAAAAGTACTCACATTGCAACACTGGGGGGAAAAAAAAAAAGGTATTTAGGGGAGTAACAGACTTTCCTTGGACAGAGGTTAAAAACAGGTATGTCTAAAACATGCCAGAGAGGTTCCTCCCATTTATGTTCCTATGCTGGCGGCAGCACACAGTCCGCACTTGACAGGTTTCTTTGAACTCCTACTCACCTGACCTTTCTGTGATTGCGAAACTACTGCAAATAAAGGAAATCATGAGGCTACAAAATTAGTACTGAAGCTGAAATCTCATCTGCGCAAGACTTAGAGAGCAGAAATACATGCAAACCAACTGACTAAACACAGCAAATTGGCTTATGCTGGTTCAAGTTTCCAGATGACAGGGAAGACAAGTATCTGAAGTTCTGTTTGAGAAGTTCTCAGACCACAGGCTATGTACATCTAGGGCCTGCCTTAATTAAGACGAGGTCACAGTGCAGATCATTAGCTTTACGCAACAAGCAGTGGCACAGAACTCTGGTTGCAGATTGGAATGAAACTGATTTTTGTTCTGACATTCGTTAAACTGAATTGCCATCATTTACTCCTCCACAGATTCAGATAAGCCATTCCAAATCCTACCTAACAAATAAGCACAAAAATCAAATTGATCCATGCAAGGCTCAGCCTCTGTATTCAGGATCATTTGCTACCCAAACCAAGTTTCTGTCATAATGTTACCCTTTTTCAATGGCTCTCGGCTCTCCTCGGCGTCTCTGTTGATTTGGTTTTGTCCTGGTTCGACTTCAGGCTGCCGACTGTCCAACTCATCCTCCGTTTCATCATCACTGTATGGCATCACCTCATCATTAGGCTGGGAATCCTCATCGAAGGTGGTCTCCGAATCCCTTTCTGAGATCATGCTGCTAGAACCCTGTGAACATTTTATAAAAGTTAGGGAAAGGAGTTAACATAGCAAGTGCTGGAAACCACATCTCCGTAATTTTACTCTGTTGATGCTGGTCACCAAAACCCATGTTTGAAACCAGTTTCCCTAGAACAGCGTAGAGCATGGGCTTGGTTCTCAAGCACAGACCAAAGTCATGAGGCAGTTATTTCCACAGCAAGTCATTCATTACTGTTCTGCTATATGTAATTACACGTGCTCACACGACAGACTAAGGAACGCCCTGTGCTTGTGAGGCAGCACACCTTGAGTGGGACGTAGGAATTAGGGAGCCCACAAACACCCAACTCCCAGCGGCCATTACGCCATCCCCTGCGGAGCCACAGGAGCCAGAGCCCCACTTGGCCATGGTGGGGCCAGGCACCGAGCGCCAGGCCAGCACGAGTTGTGCCATCGAGGGTTCGGGTCATGCAGCTGCTCCTCCATCCTGGTCTGCCCAGTCTCACCCAAACCAGTCCTCGCTTCCTCTCCCCTCCCCACAGGCTGAACGTCAGCATTTCTCATTGCAAGATCCCACATCTTGGTGTCCAAATACCCAAGGAAGTTTATAACTAGTTTGTGGTTCCACACACAAGACCAGTCAGTTGAAGCTGTGAGGTGTGTGTGCATACCTCTGCCTGAAGCTTTTCAGAAAGCGCATGTGCTCCCTAGCCCTTGAGCACTAGCACATTATCTCCCAAATTGGGATCTCCACTTTCCATAAAGTTTATTTAAATTATAGCTCTTGAAAAACTCCCAACATTGTTGTGACTGGGGCTGCTTCAGTTGGCTGTGATCTCGGACAGGAGCAAGACTGATATCCCACAATAGGCGATCCCAGCCTCCTCCAGCACTTTTAGATCACTGAGACAGACAGTTTCTACAGCTTAAGCTATCTGCTGCAACAGACAGCGTCCGATTAACTGCTTGTAAACAAAATCCAGAAACCATCTACTCATGTGGAACTCCCCTCCAACCAACACCTACAAATAGCCACCTGCATGATTCCTAGGTGGTCTTCATCTACATTTGGCCAGTTAGTCACCTTGCTGGGTGTCCTGGCATTTTAATAACTGATCTGGCGCAAGGGTTCAGGCCATTCTGATGAGCGTGTCCTGTTCATTTCCAACCATGCAATACCCAAATGTGTTGTACTGAAGCTTAAATTGCATTTGTTTCTGCAGATCAACACTTCCAAACAGGTTTTGTCCTGTCTGTGCTAGGTACCACAACAGCTGTAAGAAAATTAAAAACTGTGAGGAGAGGAGGGGGTGCCATCACCTCAGCCATTTCTGCCAGGGCCCTAAGGGCACCAATAAGCCTCTCTGGCCCCAACCAGCCTCGCCCCAGCCCCCCCACACCCATGGGACCAGAAGCCACATTTTGGCTCAGCCCATGGGCCCTGTCTGAGCTGCATCTGAGCAGGGCCGGTCTCCAGCTGAGCCGTGGCCATGGCCATGCCCCCTTCAGCTTTGCTTCGACACTGTGGACCTCTCTGGCCGTCACTGGGCCTGATCCTAACCCTGAACTACACATCAACTTCCCGACTTGACCCTGGACCTGCCTCATCACCATGGCATTGCCTTACGGCTTGGATTCTGGTTGGACCTGGCCATCATCTCAGCGTCTGTCCTGCTTGCCTTGTGAGCCCTGGGACCCCCGTCTGCTTGCTTTGCCATGGGGAGGAGCCCTGCTCTAGCTGCTCCCTGGCAACTTCAGAATAAAACCAAGTTAAAGGATCGCTGAAGCCAAGTAACATAACATGCACAGCAGCTAGCTGCGAAGTGCCCATCTTTTTTTAAATTTCTTTACTGAAAGAGTGGTTAAACATTGGAACAGGCTGCCCAGGGAAGTGGTTGAGCCACCATCCCTGGAAATATTTAAAAGACGTGTAGATGAGGTGCTTAGGGACATGGTTTAGTGGGCACGGTGGTGTTTGGTTAATGGTTGGACTCGATGATCTTAGAGGTCTTTTCCAACCTTAATGATTCTATGATCTGTTGACCTGTCCTGCAAAAGGGCCTGGTTTTGTGAAGGAAGGCCAGGGCCACCCTATACCCCATATGCTGTTGCTAACGAAACCAGCAATCATTGGGGCTGACACCAAACCCTGTCAACATCCACATTAGTTTCTATTTTTGCAAAGCTGAATTGTCTCGCATCCTTAATATCTCTTATAAGAGAGACATAAATATTACATGAGCACTTAATATGCTACTCAAATGACACGACTATTGGCTGGGAGCGCAAAGCATGCAGCACTCATGAGCTGCAGCACTGCAGTGCTTGCCCAGCACACAGGCTAATGTTTCAAGACTGCCAGTTTACAAAATAAACCAAAACCACAAGGTATCATATGACCGCACAGTTTGACTTAATATGAATTAATACAACTTCTCTCAAGACCTACTCAAGCTATTAGAGGCTGCTTACTGATGCAATTAGCCAGGAATATGACAGCTAGTCACTAACACAGTTGTGGAACCTGAAACTTTGTGAAAAGATCATTTGTTTTCCTAAATAGCCTAGGAGTTAGGGAATTCACCTCAAGACACAGGAGATTCAAGCTCAAACTCAGGCACCTGACTACCTCACTGTGATATTTTGGTTTATTTCTCATCTTTTTACCCCTTTTGTTCTTTCTCGACTACCACCTCATCCCCATAAAATCTCATATTTCACCTGACATAGAAAGGAAGAAAAGTATTAACAAGAAACCTGAACCAAAAATTTATCTGCAGAGCAACCTACTCACTAACAACTTAATACGTGGGGCCAGAACAACTTGCACAGACATCACTACAGGAACCGGTCCGTGCTGCAACCCATGCAGTTTCTCGCGCACGGTGGTCAATGAACAGCTGGCCATACAGCCCTTGCTGGGCACGGTGCCTCGCCGCAGCACAGATGCGCTGCAGCGGCTGCAGGCAGGCAGTTGCCCGACCCATGTCAGGGCTCAGGGACTCCCAGGTTACATCGAGGTTTCATTCCATTGGCAAGCCAGGCAGACATTGCTGAATTGGGTATGGGTCTTGCCTTTTAACAATTCTGCAAACTCCGACTTGCTAAGCAATACTTACAGCCAAGACAAACACTGACTTTTTCCAATTTTTTCCTATCCAAACAGGGATATGGACAATCCTGCCCTTAGCCAACACCACCTTAGCTTTGCAAGCAAGCCAGGGTCAGACTCTTCAACCCCGTGCCTACTTTGGGGGTTACAGACACTTAGATTTTCTTTACACTGAATGTCTGTTCAGGCAGAAGAAATTCCTTATGTTTTCAATCCCAAATTGTTTGAATGTTAGACAAAGTCCTTTTAGAGCAGGATGTAACGCTCAATTCCTCTTGGAAATATATATAAAATATACATGACTGTAAGAAGCCCTGCAGTAGTCAAGGATTCTGCCCTGCTAATACCTTACGTGGGGACTACTGGAGGGGAAGAGTTGAAGATCCTTACATGCACAGTCCTTAAAACAAAAAATACCACCAGATCTTTGAATCGCTCTCACTCTAAGACAAACAATACCCCTGGCACACAGAGATTCAGCCTTTAGTCTATTAATCTTTACTGATTAACTGATTAATGATTAATGAACTAATTAATCATGCAAAGGGTTAGATGAGATGTCAAAAAAACACTGCATTTGTTTTCTATTATAGATGCATAGCTAAATGGAAATACCTAAAACACAAACAGAAGCAGCCTGTGATGCTAGCTGGGAACACCAGTGCAATGCTCTGTTGTGGGGGAAAGTTCAAATTAATTGTGTTCACTTTACCTGCTCAAAGAACTAAACTGCCAACTGGAAAACCACGCTAACAGAGGAGATCTCATTAACTGTTACCCTGCAGGCAGCACAACTCTGTCCGCTGAGCTGCTCAGTGCTGCAGGCAGCACCATTATCATTTCTGCAGAAGGCAACGAAACCACACACACATCAGTGATTTCAGGCAGCTTTTACTAGCCCTGATACTATGAAATGCAGAGGGCACTGCCTCTGCACCCAAAGACCTCATCGCTAACATCCCCGGTGGCCAGCAGAGCTTCCTGGGAAGCATAGCTGCCTGCCTGCCTGCCCCCTGCCCTCGGAGACGAACAGCGGCCGAGGGGACGGTGGTCCGACTGATGGGGAGCACAGGCAGGGCTGTCAGCGAGCACATGGCAGTGGAGGAGCCCAGGGCTGGCTAGGAGACTGCAGAAAGGCACCTGCAGTCGGAAGAGAGCAGAGAGGTGTTGTGGGGCCAAGGGCGAAGGAGTCCTCCAGTGACAGGGTGACAAATTGGTTTAGAGTTAAGTTTCTTGACACCTGGTCTGCATGAAAAGGGCTAGCTGGGATGTCAAAGCGATGTCAGAAGTTCAGAGGAAGGTGGAGAGCGATCATGATGTGAAAGAGGAGACAGGAGGAACCAACCGCATGGGGCAGCAGAGATGCCAACTAATACTGAGCCAGCAGGGGATGGAAAGAGAGGAGAGCTCACATCCACCGGCACCTGGATGCAGGATGGACACAGTGGAAACCAAAGGTGAATTAAACATGGCAGAAAGAGAGGCAGCCGCTACTGATTTTTGCAGCAGTCACTATTCTGAGGAGAAAAAAAGGCGCCACAACTTAAAAAAAAAAAAGCTAGAAAGGCTATGCCATGCAGGAGAAAAAACTATGAACAATGTTGAAATAAAATAAAAGCAATGGTCCATTCTTAAACGGATCTATTCTCAGAAGAGAGACAGACAATTTCTTACGTTTGTGTGCACTGCTTATGTTCAGACTCGAGCTGAAATAACAATTGCTTGCAAATTAGTCTTTCAAGTAAGGAAAAAAAAAAGGGTTCGGTTTGCTGGAGCTGGGGGTAAAACTCTTTCAAACAAGATCCCACCTGCTTTTCCCATTTCACAATAATATAACCCAAAATGAACACTGCTTTTACAGATCTTGCATTGAATGGACTAATAAAAAAAGCTACAAATTTAC